CAGCTGGGACAGTATAGAGACTGGCTTGGGACTAGAATAGTAATCAAAAACACTCTAAGGATACAAAATGGAAGAAAGCAAGCCTCTGAGAATAACCTCTCAGAAGCCAGAGAAGCAGAACTTGTCTCAAAAGGTCTTGGAAGCCCATGTGCCTATCAGAACAGAAAGGTCTGTAGCCTGAGGAGGTAGCCAGTTGGTAAAGTACAAAGGCCTTAGTTTCATCCTCAGAACCTATATGTACTGGATGGTTTTGTGTGACAACTTGACACAGGATAGAGTCATCACAAAGAAAGGAGCCTCCGTTCTGTAAGAAAGCAGGTTGAGCAAGCCAGAAAAACAAGACAGTAATAAGCAAGCCCCTGCCCCCTTACACACACCCATGGCCTCTGTATCAGCTCCTGCTTCCAAGTTCTCATCCTGTGTGAGTGCCTGTCCTGACTTCCTCCAAAGATGGATTGTGATCTCGAAGTGCAAGCCAAATAAGCCCTTTTCTCCCCAACTTGCTTTTTGGTCGTGGTGTTTTTGTTGCAGGAATAAAAACCCTAACTAAATCATCATGTAAGAAAAGCTGGGCACAGTGGTGCATGCTCCCAATCCCGGCACAGGGGGTTGAATGCAACTAGCTTCCCTGGAATGTGACTTTTCTTCTTAAGAATAGTGCCTGGCATAGGGACACATACCTTTAATCCCAGCCCTGGGGAGGTAGAGACAGGCAGATCTCCGTAAATTTGAGGCTAGCCTGGTCTACATAGTGAGTTCCAGGATAGTCAGGGCTATATAGTGAGACTCTGTCTCAAAATAAAATACAATAAAAAAAAGTACCCAAAGAATACTGCTCAAGGATGTGCTCTGCCCTCCACACACATGTGTGCATGCATGCATACACACACAAACACTGTGAGATGTGATATGCTGACCTCCACACACGTGTACATGCACGCATACACACACACACAAACACTTTGTGAGATGTGGAACACCAGCACCCCTCACTTTTCTGTCCAGGAATCCCCCTTTCCCTTCAGCTCTGCTAAATAACAATTTATTGTTAGAAATCTTTTACATTTGATGGCTTATACACTTCAGACTCAGCTTGACTTCCCTGGGTCTCTGTTTTGTTGGTACACCTTAACCCTGGCTACCCAGGAGGGAAAGCTTGGGGATGACAGACTTCCTCTCCTTCCTTGTAGCCCTAGGCTAGTTAGCCAGTTCTGTTACCATCTTTTCCTTGTATCCTTCTTACTTTAAATTCAGCTTTCCCCAGCCACAACACCCCTTGCCTTTCCACCTGTCTGGTGGGCAGAGGTTAGCTAGCTTCAGGAATACATGTTCCTGTTCTCCTGCAACACAGGCATCATCTCCACCTGGAGTCCAGTAGGAAACTGGGAGTTAACTGTGGTTTGGCTCCAGTGTAGTGACGGGCAGGGAAGGAAATCCTGGTGAATCTGTCACTCTTCACAGTCACATCCCAAAGGACAGCAGAGGCCTCAGGAACAGAGGGTGGGCCCGATGCAGAGAATCCATGAGAGCCTCACAGCTTTGGCCTGATTATCAACAGCTTATGTCCTTCAGGCTTTCTGAGCACAGCCACTGGGCCTACTCTACTGCTTGTCCTACCTGTGTCCACTCACACAGGCTTACAAACCTTCCTTTAATAAATACCTTTTCAAATGGTTCTGCCTTTGCTCTAGGGTAGACCAGATGGCTTCTCCTTAGCTACCTGGCTTCTGCTGTGAAGATAACATTAGAGCTATTCTATCGAGAAAAAGTTTAGATAGTATAGTCTGCTTTCCTAGAAACCAAGGACAGTATTCCAAACCAGGAAGGATGAGGACCTTACTGTCCACCATTTACTGAGACAAGCAGGCCATCGCCATCATTATCATATGACCAAAGCAGACAGCATAGGAGAACAGTTACAGTCACCTAAGAAAACTGGAAACAGCACTGGATATCCCGAAAGCCACTTATTACTGGGAGAACTTGAAAAAGATCCATCCATGCTGCAAAGTCTACACTAACTACAGCTTTCTCTTCATTCCAAATGAAGACCCACCCTGGTGGAGCTGGGCAACCAACCTGCTCGGTCCCAAGATGTTAGAAGTTCCTCCACACAGACCATGGGTAAGCTCCATCAGAAGTGACATTTTTACAGAAGTTCCATGTGCTGAGGGTGTTAGGGGAAGGCATGGCCAAAAGCAGGACTTTTCCTTCAACAAATTCACTAGTTTTTCCTTGAGCTCCATGGAGCTGAGCTGCAGAGCAGCTTGTAGGCGCTTGGAGTACAGGGGCAGCAGACAGCTCAGGCTGGGCGAGGGAGGGGCTGCTCCAGGAGGGGCACTGACATGTTCTCCCTGCAGTCCACATATTCAAAGCTCTCGAAGGGCAGCTGTTGTGGATGGCTCAGGTAGGAGCAGCTTAGAGAACCCCTGGAGAGGAAGTAGGGCTTATTGTAAAGTCTGGGAGGGAAAGGGCAGCTTTGGCCTGGTTCTACTATGTGTGTGAGGCTGGCTCCCTAGGACCTCCCTCCCACTTCCTTCTGCTCCCAGTTCTGCCAGGACACTGACACAGCTGCCCCACCTATGTTCTGGAAGCTCCAGACAGGACGCATAGGCAAGATCTACATAAGATAAGTAAGATCTGGAACAGGTCCTAGGACTTGCTAATCTCTGGAGCTAACAAAGACTCATGATATCGCCTCTTTCTCTACCTCGTGAAATAGAGCTAAGGCGACTGAAGTGGGAGTGGGGACATAGGAATTCCATATCATACTTACTGGATATTCAAAAGAATATGGTGGACTCTGATTTTCGGCCATGTACAGATTTTGCTGAGAGAGAGAGAGAGAGAAAGAGAGAGAGAGAGAGAGAGAGAGAGAGGGAGAGAGGGAGGGAGAGAGGAAGAGACTTGTTTTACATTGAGCAGAGGGTCAGGAAACTCAAAAGAGGGGACTTACAAGTCACAACGCACATGTTTTCTTGTCTCCCATCAGAAGTCTCTAAGATGTCACTCTTAATCCTTATCCTCTAGGATGAGTCTGGCCACCTGGCTCATGCTGACCTCTGCCTTGGCAGAAAACTAGATATTATTCTTCCTTAGAGATTCAAAGAGTCCACCTCACATAAAGATGAACAAAATTCCACCGTTATTCTAATCTAGGTCCAACAGAAGAGGCTGTGGACTTTTACCCTTGCATTTTGCACTCTGAGCCACAAGAGGGCAGTCTCAAGGCAGGCCCCTGAGTCTGAAGCAACCAGGAAACCTGTTATCAGAAAGTGGATACTTATAAAATTTAAAAATGCTGGGTGGTGGTGGCGCACACCTTTAATCCCAGCACTTGGGAGGCAGAGGCAGGCAGATCTCTGAGTTTGAGGCCAGCCTGGTCTACAGAGCAAGTTCCAGGACAGCCAGGGCTACACAGAGAAACCCTGCCTCAAAAACAAAAACAAAACATTGAGTGTAGGCACACTCGAGTAATGGCATATGTGTGAATATCAAAGGACAATTTGTGGGAGTGGGTTCTCTTTCTCTTCCTATCATGCAAGACTGGAAGATTAAATTCAGGTTATGGTGGCAAACACTTTTACCTCACCAGCCCTTCAGTGAATATTAACTGGGTTTTTAAACCAAGAAAGGGTAGGAGAGAGGAGACCAAAGGGTACTCACTATGTGTTTTCATCCAAAATCCTGCTGGTAACTTCATAAGGCATCTGGCAACCAAAGAGGTACAAGATTAGCTGCACCTCACACTGTCCCCTCTCCATTACCACATTACACACCTGTGTGTCGGGCTGGCCAGGAAGAGGGAAGTTACCTGCTTACTGGCCAAAGGGCCAATGTGCAGGTGGAGGCTGCTGGTAACCTGGCCTACCACAGAGGCCTGGTGGAACACCTCAGCCGTCAGCTGTGTCACCGTGACGGGATAGAAGTTGCTGTTGAAGATGTTCAGGACATTCTGGAGATGACGGCAAGAAGTGTAATTTTAATTTTTTCAAAACTTATTTTTGATGATGGTTCTTTAACCTCCCTTGTAGCCCACCACCCACCAGAAGTAGTGGAAAACAAAGGATACAGGGGAAGTGGCCCTGTTTAGAAAGGTTCTTTGGAGCAACTCCTGTCTGTGTTATCTGGAAGTTCAGTTCACAGGTCAGCAGCAGCAGCTCGATCCACTCGCAAACACTTCACAGATACACCAGCAGTCCAGTCCAGTAGAGTTGGGTTAGCAACAGTGGTGACATGACCTGGCAGAGACAGCCAGGCCTCAGCCTCAGCTCAAGTCAGAGAGACCAACAGGAACACCAGGAGAAGTTCTTGGCTATGCCTCTCTCAGAGAAGTGGAGATCAGTGAGACTTGAGACTCACAAGCATTGCACAGCTAGCTGTACCAGCAAGCCAAGCTCTGTCTCTGACACTCTGTGCAGTCCTATTTGTACCCTCCAAACATCACGTGTTCTCCACATGCCTTGCCTGAGCATGGGTCTTGCCTCAGTATGTGCATCCAATCAGCCTCAGAAGTGGCTAGAAATTGCAGCACACCACCAGAAGTCTTTTTGGTGTGTTTTCCTCTATGGCGTCGTGAAAAATGCAGCTCAACTACACAGTGTAAGGCAGACCAACACATGCATGTTGTCAGCAAAGAATCCTTCATCATGTGTCTTTTCATGTACTTGCTTTAGCAGAACATCCTCTCTTCTGTGTCTGCTTCAGCAAAACATTCCTTCATGAGTCAGCCTTAGCCTTTCACACCTGTGTCCACTTTAAGGAAAGTTCTTTCACACATTGGCCCCAGCAAAATATCATCCAACTGACTTTCCAAAGAACCCTTAAGTGTCCATTTCAGAGAAGAAATTGGTGACAATGGTGCCCCATGGAAGGGAGAACACAAGCAGCTGCATCAGCCTGTCTGTTTAGCCTGAGTCCCATCCTACCCTTTTGGGCCTCAGGTACAAAGGACTCTGAAGGCTCTTAATGGCAGAGGTCACCTTTAAGGAGTGACACTGGTCTGGATTCTGTGGTATACCCCTAAAGTACCAGTTACTCTGGAGACTGAGAGGATCACTTGAGCCCAGGAATACACAACTTACTCAACACAGTGAGAACCTACCCATCAAAGTTGCTGGCTCAAGATCTGTGTGTGTGTGTTTTGAGACAAGATTTCTCTGTGTAGCCCTGACTGTCCTAGAACTCACTCTTGTAGACCAGGCTGGCCTTGAACTCACAGAGATCTGCCTGCCTCTGTCTCCTGAGTGCTGGGATTAAACATGTATGCCACCACCACCTGTCAAGTTTTTTTGTTTTTTTTTTTGTTTTTTTGTTTTTCGAGACAGGGTTTCTCTGTGTAGCCCTGGCTGTCATGGAACTCACTCTGTAGACCAGGCTGGCCTCGAACTCAGAAATCCGCCTGCCTCTGCCTCCCAAGTGCTGGGATTAACGGCATGCGCCACCACCGCCCGGCCAACCTGTTAAGTTTTTTAAAGATGATTTATTTTAGCCGGGCGGTGAGGGTGTGAGGATATCAAATCACTTGGAACTGGATTACAGGCAGTGTGAGTTGCCATATGGGTGCTGGAAACTGAACCTGGGTCCTCTGGAAGAACAGCCAGAGGTCTTAACTGCTAAACCATTTCTCCAGCCCTCCAGTATTCAGTTTTACCCTGTTCTATTTCTCTCCATTTTCCCCCTGGACATCCCTACTCTTCCCTGTGACTGATCTGGTCCAGATTCCGACCCTCCACTATTCGGAGTCCGAATCCCATAAATCTACTACGGAGCTCATGTTGCCTCAAAATCCTCTGCATACCACAAGATCCTTGGTCCTTACACCCTAGGCTACGTGGAGGCGTTTTGGAGAAGAGGAGTAGGGGTGAAATAAGGAGCAGCTACCACGTACCGTCATGTTGAGCTGAACATGAGTTTCATCGAAGACGACCGTGGAGGAGTTGAGGCCTTCAGGATGCACAACAATGGAGCGTGGATACAGGAAAAAGATGGTGAGGGAGAAAATCAGCAGGCAGACGGTCACGGCCACGAACACAGAGAGCTTCCTGTGTGAAAGCAGGCCCCCCGATGGAAGAGAGAGATCTGAACACCAAGGAATCCTGGAGGAGCTTCAGACCCCTCTCTCCAGACAATGGGCTTTCTCTAGCGCATCATCTGGCAACTGTACACTTAGCTCTCCAGCTGTCGTTCAGCACAGCACTGGAAGGCAAGCAACCTGGCTTCCACTCCCAGCTCTCTATCTCCACAGACATAATGCTGGGTGACACTACTTAACCTCTTCAAAAGCCCAGGATGTCTGTAAAGTGGAGATAATTGTATCTATTTCATAGAACTTCCTATGGTCCACAGAGGTAAAAGTAACTAATCCCTGTTTCTGGCACACAACAAGATCTCAACGAATGCTACTATCACTACTAGAAGCCAGTTTATGATTATTTGAGAGCTCTGAGTTTTAATATTTAATTAAAGTCAATACTTTGAATGGGATACCATTTACCCATGCTAATCAAGAACTCAGCATTTTATGAGGGACACTACTTGTTTGTAATTTTATCACAGTTACTTGTTTTCTTCGTGTGCTGTAGCACGTGTGTGGAGGCCAGAGGGATACTTGTGGGAGTTAGTTTGCTCTTACCATGTGAGGCCTGGAGTTTGAACTCAGGTCATCAGGCTCAGGAGCAAGCACCTCTACCTGCTGAGCCATCTCCTGGGCTGGTTTCTACTGTTAGCACAGTGGCTGTGGGGGCTGGGTGGCAGCTCTCAGGTGGAAGCTGAGGGTCTTTGGAGGGGGTTACAGAGACCCATGTCAAATGGATGCTGACCGCATACAGGGTCACGGGCACCACACTGAAGCCCAGGGCTGCTTCTGAGGTTCCAAAGTTCCAGAACAGAGAGCTTGTTTTCAATCCCTCGTAGGAAGAAATATAAGGTCTAAACTGCAATAGCAAAGGCAGAGGCAACCAGGGTGATTTGTTCTCTCTTGGAAGAACTTGTTTTTTTGTTTTGTTTTTTTGTTTTCTTGTATTTTTTTTTTTGTTTTGTTTTTGTTTTTTGAGACAGGGTTTCTCTGTGTAGCCCTGGCTGTCCTGGAACTCACTCACTCTGTAGACCAGGCTGGCCTCGAACTCAGAAATCTGCCTGCCTCTGCCTCCCAAGTGCTGGGAGGAAGGACTTGTGTACAGCCATGAAATGGCCTTAGCTATACCTGCTATGATCTATGCTGCGTGATTTTTTTTTTTGTTATATTTTGGCTGACAAATAAATGTACATATTTATGGGGTATGTTATTCCAATATATGTTGTCTACATTATGAAACAAAGTTAATTAGCAAGACTATGACATGGACTTACTGCTAAAGATCAAACCCAGGGCCTCACACATGGTGGCTAAGGAAACACATTATCAGTGAGCTACAATTCCAGGTGCTAACACTATCATTCTTAAACAAGGACAATCCTTGGAAAGATGAATGTAGTCTAAGTTTTAGCACAATGAGACTCAGGCTTCTAGATGAAAACCAATGGGTAAAAAATCAGGAGATGAAAAGAGGGGAGACAGGTGAGGCAGCCCCTAGGGGCGTAGGAAGCTCACGTGTGTCTGGGCTTCAGCCTTTGGTCTCCATAAGGGATGAGGGCTACCAGCTGCTTCTCTAGTTCTGCAGAGGGAAAGAGTGAGAGAGAATGCTAAGGCATGCCCATGACAAACACTTCCCGTGCCAGCCTCTCCCCAAGCATCCCTCCACTCCATCTTGCAGTGACAGAAGCATGCTGCCTCTGTCCCACGGCAGGATTGAGAACGCTGTCAACACTAAAGTTGACAACCCAGCTTTCAGCTTAGAGAGCTGGGACTTCTGTTACCAGGCATGAAAAAACACTGAGTCAGTGGGAAATCAGAGGTGCCCCATTCCTTTGGAGAGGTCATTTTTAACCTCCCAAGACACTGGCTTGAGGATCAGACAAGGAACTTTCCTCTAGGAGCTGGGGAATAGAACCACCACAGCAGGACCTGGACATTTCTTCTTGGCCAGCCCAAGACTGAGTAGGAGAGGTCTACCTACTCCAGGAGGTGCAGAGAGGCAGGTCTGGACCGCTCCCTGGTTTCTAGAGTATTTCCAGAGCCTTGGGCTACTCACCTTGGGGGATCTCCCCATTGCCTTGGCAGGTAGGACAAGTCACAAAGCTGGTACTAGCAGCCTTTTCATAAGGCACGCAGGAGTGTGCTGGCTTGCTGCTACCAGTGCTGAAGTAGTTGGCAGTCTTGCTGGCAACGGCTGGGTTATCAGGTAGGATAGGCTTGTCCTCATCATTTTGAGAGGTGAGCTGGGAGAATGCCTTACCCATAGTTCAGCAGGATTTTTCACTAATGAGAAATAAAACAGGGCTCAGAGCTATTAGCCTGTTAGCATTGATGCCAGGTTTTCAGTTTTTAAGACTGGCAAGAAGCCCTACCATTGTCTAAGCAAGCTTTTGCTTAGGGAAGAACGGTTTGGGCAGTGCCTTGGGACTTTTTTTTTTTTTTTTTTAAGAGTTCAATTCAAAGAAAACCAAAGAAAAGCAGAAGTTATTTCACTTTAAGGGACTTCTGTAAGTTAACGTAGAATTCTTCAGCAGGAAAAGCTGAGATTTCATTTATTTTAAAGAAAGGGAAGCTGGGTAAGGACTAGGAGTGGGAAGCAGAGTCTTCCCTAATGATTACTTTGTAGAAATCCCAGAGTGCTAGGGCAGGTATGCCTGAAATCAGCTTGGGATTGTAGAAGGCAGGCTTCCACTCGGGAGTCTGGCTGGAAAAGCAGGGCTTTTTAGTCAGAACTGTGGCTAAGAAACCCTGTGAAACTGGACTGGGAGGGAGCCTAGATCTGTTTATTGCTTTCTGAGACCTCAGAGTCTGTTCTTCATTAGGATAGGTGAAGGCTACATCTGAACTTCCCCCGAATCCCTGAGTAGTGGTTTGAAGTAAGTAGTAGCTCGTTAGGAACACACTCTTATCTTCCTGGGCTAAAATAAAGACCCTTACTCACCTGGTTTATGTCTGGGATTCCAGGTTCTTCTCAGCTGCAAGATTGGGTTTTCTGGAATGCTCCTTTGGGGAGAAGGGCCTCTAAGGTAGGGTAGAGGAGATCAGCTCCCTTCAGAAGAGACCTGAGTGAATGTGCCGAAACTGGGGAGCAGGGACTCTTGTCTACCAGGAGGGTCAAGTCCCCTATCTACTAGGGGACTCTGCTATGGTGGGCAAGAAAGGAAGAGGTAGGATTTCATAGAGGAAGAATTTTAAATCCCACCACACTGGCCGTTAGTCAAATTTGGGCACTACGCGTTGGGCGCTGAGAAAGCCCAAATGTCTAGATTCTTGCTTAGTAAAGGGGAAAGAGATGGGGTCCTGGGACGCCTTACCAGAAGGTGACAACGCCCTCAGCAAAATCGAAACTGCTGGAGCAGCACGTTGAACACAAGCTCAGAGTCCAAGCTGGGCTCGGCCCCGCCCCTTGCCCCGCCCCCTCCTCCTGAGCGACCGCGCCTGAGTGGCGATGCCGCTTCCGGCTCTGCGAGTCTTCAAGGACAAATGCTGCTATCGCAAGGACCAACTAGTCCAGGTACGAGTTTCAAAGATCATGTATTTACAATTCTTTAAGTGGATATGTGAAAGTACAACGGAACGAAAAACTGGACCCAGATGGTCAAGACAGGTCCCCCCAAATCCACCCAATTACCCACATGCGGCTCTGCCTCTACTCCAAACCCCATGAAAACATTTTAAACAATAAACAGCCTGGTTGGCTTGCAGTTTGAATTGTGGTTTATTTAGAAGCATTCAAGAGTTAGACTGTAAATAAACATATTATGAGTAATTAAAATCGCCATTTATTATAAATACCAACTAAGTTAAATAATACTATTTGAACTACCTTTCCTCTTTGAGCTGGAGTCCAGATACCTCCTCTCAAACTCTAACCATGAATAAAATCTTTAGTGTTGTGTTACCTCTTCTTTCACCATCTGTACCCAACGCTCCCTTTTATGAATTAAATGAGACCTAGAACTCTGAAAGGAAGCTTCTTCCCATTTATTCTAATGGTAAACTAACCTTTCTGTGGGTTAGCCCCCAACACCACTTCCTGTTCTCGGCTCTCTAGGGCTGGACACCTCAGAAGGGGATTACACACATTTGAGAAGTCGCCAGCATTTGTGCCCCGCCCCCCACACCTGAACCTTACTGAGATGAATATTTGCACATACCTGTTCTCCTTACAATCTGCTGTGACAGTCAGAAAAAGTGTGACTGTTAACGTTCTCTTTCTGTAACATGTCGGTTTTCCCCCTTTATAGGATTAGCAAAATATTTCACACTATCCAGGATTTTTCCTTAAATAAAACTTATACAAAATTACTTTGACAGACACTGCCCAGTAGGTGCTATGGGTTAACCAACATGCCTTCCGTCCATCCTTCCAGGTTCCTGCCAGGTCTTCTGAAAGCAAAGTGTTACTTATTTACTAAGTCTTATAGGGAATGACTTTCTTGATCTGCTGTCCTTACATAGCTATGAAGCTTGGGATTGGTTATAGAAATTAAGAGAATAATTCTTGAAAACATTCAAGGTTAATCTTTAAAAAACAGAAAAACCAAACTAACATTTAACAGCCCATTAAAAACATCCACATGAACCAAAGGAAAACAGTCAACTTCAATACAAGCAGAAGGAAAAGCAGTCTACAGGAAGTCCAAGTTACACGCTTCCACGTACTACAGTGGCGAGAGTTCTGTCCAGATCAGTGGGAAACTGTCTTCCTATCATTCATCCCATTTCTAAAGTGAAAATTTAAGTTCTGGCCTTTGATTTGCTCCAAAAAATACTGTAACAGGTACAGGTACTGTTTTGACAATTCAGAGACACTCAACATAGATTCATCAGATTAAAAAGCAAGCAAGGGCTTCCACCCACACCTCAATGACGGCATGGAGACCACCTCTGAGCGGCAGGCAGTTATTTAATGCAAGGTCAGTCCTCAATAGCGGTGGCTGTACCAGTCGTTGTTGTTTACTTGAAGAAGCTCTGTCACAACCTGCAGGATGTTGTAATTGTGTTTTCTCAGCAGCCTTAGATTCAGCTGCCTGTCGCAGAATCCCATTTCAAAGAGATGGGCCATCAGGGCTGCAGTCTGATCTTCAGAAGCGATGGGCTATGCAAAGACAAGGAGACATTTTTCTGTATAATTTGCTTCTTTGCAAATCTGTATTAGACTGTCATCCTAGTCTTTCTCCTTATTCAAAGTGTTAGATAATTAGATGCAAAGGCACAACTTTCCTGTCTCCCTAGCAAGTCAATGGGGTTGAGAGTTCTGACTATCCATCTGCATAACTGAAGGAGAGGGTAACAGCAGGAGAATGCTTCAGGACTTTCTGAAAGCAGCATGCTCAGACACAAGTGCTCATACCTGTGATCCCAGCTTGGAGGAAGATCATAGGTTTGGGAGGAGTCTGGGCTACAGAATGAACCCTTGTATCCAAAGCCCCAGACAACCAAAATCACCCATTCTTCAGCCAAGTAAAAACTGAAGAGCAAGATGACAAGAAGCCTTGAAGACTTTGTTAACATAAAGTTGTGGTAACGGAGCATATATGAGCAGGAGAGACTTCATGAAGATGGCATGGGACATAGAATTTCACCAGATATGCAAGTGCGATGGATACCTCACTATGTAGATTAAGATGTTCTTGAACTTAGAGATGTGGCCTTAGCCTCACATATGCTAGACATGTGCTTTGCCACTGAGCTATAACCCCTAGTCCTCCTTGCTTATTTTAAAACAGCCTAATACCCATCACCCTTGACAAGCTTAATGTTTGTACTTTGCATTCCCTCTCCCGCCTCTCCCCTTCTTATTTCTGGGACAGGGTTCTTCTATGTATCAGCTCTGGCTGTCTTAGAACTTGCTTTGTAGACCAGGCTAGCTTCAAACTCACAGAGATCCACCTGCTTCTGCCTCCTGAGTGCTGAGATTAAAAGCTGGTACCACCATGCCTGGCATTTTTTTCTCTTTACCATTACTACCTCAGAAATCTTTCATCTGTACTGATAACATGTTTCACTGCTAGGCTTGCCAACATCAAGTGTCTCTTATAAACACCATCTTCTGCCTTATGTAGACATGTAGCTAGCAAGGCATACTTGAACTGTCAAATTCCTCACCACATAGAAACTTAGAAAGCTGGGTCACAGCTCTCTGCAGCATTTAGCACTGTCTACTGATCCCTTATAATCCTTCCAAGTCCCAGTAGTGGCTGTTTCCAGTAAGTTCTGTTTTAGTAGAATCCTGTTGGCTTGATCCTTAAAAGGCTGCTTCTGCCTCCTCCATTTTTCCTGGATAATCTCATCCAATCACACAGCTCCTGCTAGAACCTGTATGCAAATGACTCTCAAACTTCAGACTCAGCTCAAACCTTTCTCCTCTGTAACAGAGGTGTATACATCCAACTGGGTGGCTTTACTTTTAACCTGGATAAGTTGTAAACTCAACACTAAGCAAAATTGACAAGATTTGCTCCTGTCCAAGTAACTCTTTTTTACTTGGGGTATATTTTTTTTTTTTTAAAGATTTATTTATTTATTATATATGAATGCATTGTAGCTGTCTTCAGACACACCAGAAGAGGGCATCAGATCTCATTACAGATGGTTGTGAGCCACCATGTGGTTGCTGGGATTTGAACTCAGGACCTCTGGAAGTGCAGTCAGTGCTCTTAACCACTGAGCCATCTCTCCAGCCCCCACTTGGGGTATATTTATCATGTATTTTATTTTATGTTTGTGTGTGGGGTGCTCATGTGGATGTCAGAGGACAACGCATGAGTCAGTCCTCTCCTTCCAGGGATTGAAACTCCTGCTGTCAAGGAGCAAGCACTTTAGTCACTGAGATCTTACTGGTCCTGCTTTCTTCTTGTAATGCATGATACTATTGAGTACCTAAGCTAAAGCTTGAGATTTATCTTTGAGTTCTTTGTAATCACCTAATCACTGGTAAGTCCCAATACTCCTATCTGTTTCATGTTAATGGAGGTGTAGAGCCACATGCCTTTAGTTCCAGCTCTCAGAAGCAGGTGAATTTGTGAGTTCAAGGCTAGCCTGGTCTACAGTGATAGCCAGAGATATGTAGAGACTCTGTTTCAAAAGCAAGCAAACAAACCCAAAACAACACAACACCCCCCCCCTTCCTATGCCTTACAATAAAACCCCAGCACTTAAGAGTTGCCTTTTCTCTTCTCTTCAGATCAAATTCCTCATCCACTCACTTTCAACTCTTACTACCTAGCTACTCTATCTTTCATAGAAGACAAGACCTTGCAACTGAACCTAGGGTGCTAAGCAAGAGTTCTACTGTTACCAAACTATATTTGTACCCTTTATATGATTTTATATTCTCAAATTTTATTTTAAGAAAAGGTTTTACTATGAATCCCAGGCTGACCTTGAACTTGCAATCTGCATCCTGAGTAGCTGGGAGTATAGGCGAGAGCTCCCATATCCAGCATTAGAATATTTTCCGGGGTACATGTGCTTTGTGCTTTAGGTCTCAGTTCAGATACTGACTTCCAGGAAGCCTTGGTCCCAGGAGGTGGAGATGCACTAGTACACTGTCCTGTCCTATACTGGAAATGTGTATGCTTGGCCAGTTTCCTACAGTTGTTTGATGGGAATGTGTGCCTTATGTATCCTGTAGTGCCAGCACTACATTGTTGTCGAACAGCAGCTCTGTACATGTAGTAAGTCTTCAACAAATCTTAGTTCTTTCCCTTTTCTCCCCTGAGTAACTTGATTAAAACAATAGGAAATGGCAGGGCTATGTGTTCATTAAAGAGAACGTCTACACAGTCCGTGCCATGTCAATTGCCAATCCAGACAGAAGACACTGCCATTTGCACTGGTGACTTAGGGGCTGAAGTTAAGGAAAAGAGACCACACACTGACCTGTGCAGTGACTGGTGGCCCAGAAAACAGGGCCTTGTACGCAGAGGCAGCAACAGACAGAGCCCCCTTCACCAATCCTCCAGCAATGCTGCTCCCATTGTGGTGCCTACAGAGGAAAACCAAATTATCTCCCCAAATAAAATCAGGACCCTGCAAGATAATGTGGTGCTAATCTCCAAAGAAAAAAGAGTTATCCTTAAGAGAAAAAAAAAATCAGATGTAAAAAAAAGAGAATGAACTGTTTTCAAAGCTACAGATCTTAGTTTGCTGCAGGGCTCTGGCTCGGCTGGCAGAAGACCTGAGTAGTGTAGGAAACGCACGCCCTGGTTACCGCACCAGCTTCCCCTCCCAGCTGAAAATGAATGTGGTCATGGGCACACTGCATAGCAGTGTCTGCACATCTCAGAGAAAACCTGGCAAAGGTAATGTGATTTTTCTAGATTCTGATCTGAGATGACAGAGAGCAGAGAGGCAGCTGAATCTAAGAAAAAACAGCTAGACACAGCCGGGGCTTGACCTGCCTGTCTTCTTGGGCATTACAGTGGAGAGGATTTTAGGGTAACCCCTAAACAGTGAAACTCTTAAGCATAAGCTTTAGCTCTGTCCAGTGGTGCTCATAAGCTATAGAAGAACAAGGAGGAAAGACAGTGCTCCATCTTGTGCTTGGAAAGTGCTCATTTAAGGTGCTCGGCACGTGCTCCGAGAGGCTCATTTAAGCAGAAGCAATGCTGGGATGCCTTCCTGCTTCTCAAGAAGAGACTTCGCAAGGTCGTTACCTTGAGTGGTCACAGCTCCTCTGTCTGGTGTTTGCGAGTCCTGTTGAGCCTCTGGGCTCTAAAAGCAAAAGAGCCATTGGTTAGCTGCAGCATCCACAAGCTATTATTGAGGCAGGCAGCAGGTTAGTAGGGGGTCTGAAGTCTTTTCCTTCTTTCTTTTCCTCTTTTAAGTTTTAGAAAGTTCTGTGGCTGATTTAAGTCTCTGAGGAAGACAAATTGTCTAGAAATGCTATACCAGGGAACATTATTGAGTAGAAAAATAATTCTCTAATCCTGTAACCCTCATGTGTTAGTTCTTACAGTTTTAGGTTGGGTATTTTTAGAAGAGGAAGAGACTGTGGGTGGGGAACCTCCTTCTTCCCTCACAGTGCTACAGTCCTGAGACCTCTAATAAGAGGACAGACGTGCAGGCATCACAAACTAGCTAAGCTGCTGCATTACTCTGCTGAGGAAAAGCAAAACTGGAGCTGGAGCCTAGGCTAGCCTGCTTCCAAAGCTGCGTTCTTTCCAGCATAGTGCAATGCCTACCTCTGCAAGGTCTCCAGATATACTTAAGAGCAGAAACCCAGAGCATGAGGGAGGAATACAGAAAGAGGGAAGAGGAAAAGTCTCTGAACAAGGCCACGGATCTCAAAACTGGAGAGCCTGTTGATACCTGGTTTCCACTGGAAAGAAGCAAAGGGAGGGAGGTGAAGATCAACCTTGGCATTACCTCCTCTGATGTGATCAGGGACTGGAGGAACTTCTTGGATGGTAACTGGTGAATCCACTCCTGGTGACTCATACTGTCCACAAGGGGCGCTCCTTTAGAAAGAAAGAATACTGGAGGTAAGCTGAAGGGCGGCCACAGTCGAACAGTAAACACCAGGTTCTCAGCAGGCTTCACCTTTCTGATCCTGTCACGTGTGAATTTGGCAGCGTGGTCAGAAGGGCTGCATTCCACTCTCCGATTTCCTCCTTAGCCACAATCCAGCTGGAGAAACTGGCTTCATTCAGGTCACCTCCCCCTTCCTGAGCATTTTGTATTATATTTAGGGCTCCCACATTTTCTATACTAGATCCAGTAGAGACTTATACTTTCTCTCTGGGCTTCTGGTATACATCCATTAAGTTATTTAATTTCCTAACTGTTCTCTACCTGTGTTAGCACATGGAAGATGAAAGCTTTTCTGTTGAACTCAGGCCCTCATGCTTGGCAGGCAAATGCTCTACCATGGAACTAACTGACAAATCCTCATCTACATTTTTGTTACACTCACTCAACTTAAGAATCAAAACATAAAGGGAAGATCCAGAGATATTTGTATTTGAATATTTTTCTCTTAGTTATAAAAAAATCAGTAAACAGACTATGCTCAGGGAAGTAAGGTTAACTAAAATAAACATTTGTTTAAATCTTAAGTTTATAAATGCTGAGAAATCTGAATAGGATTTTTATTCATCTAAGTTTAGATTATAGAAAAAGAAAGGTCTGGAGATAAAGCTGGTCACTCTAGCACTGGAGAACAGGGGGGGCTGAGGTGCTAAGCGGTACCTGGACAATGCTGCTGGAAGTCCTGCCACCTCGGGGACTAGAGGCACCGTGTCCAGAGGCTGTGAGGTCGTGAGGATGTCACTGATGCCCTGCTCCTGTGGTTGGCTCTCCCTCTCTGGGAGTCTCTCTCTGGCCTCAGTTGGTTCTTGCCCAGACTCGATCCCAGGTTCACCTTCAGCCCCTTGCTCCAGGCCTGGCTGGGAGAGTGCAGAGCTGTACATGGAGTCCCCCAGGGGGCGGCTGGTATCAAAACACTCAGGCAGGATGATGATATAATCTTCAGAGGAAGCAGAAGACTGACTTTGAACTTCTTCATCTTGGACTTCCTCCTCTTCCTCAACGACTTCTTCCTCAGCAATGTGGACAATCTCCTCCCTCTCTTCTCCACATGGTCCTTCTTCAGGCAAGGCAAATTTCACTAAGGAATAAAAGTAACCACTGTGAGGGAAGAGGCTTGGCAGCAAACCTCAGTGCTGTTCTCCCTCGGTAAATAAAGCCTGTGGATCACGAGGTAGCACAAAGAGCACAGTGGAAAGAACCAGAGGAACGGGCTGTTTCTGGAGCCACGACTGTATTGTTTCATGATGGTGCAAAACAAATAGATGGGAAGTCAACAGACACAAGTGTGTGGGCTGGAACGGCCAGGCTTCCAGTGAGCACCATGAAGCCGACCATCCTTTTTTCTCTTTGTTGTGGAAGTTAAAAGACTGAGATAAAGCTTCATCAGAACCGGTGAGCTAGCTATCGTGGCCTGGAAAAGGGCTCACGTGGTGAGCAGCACTTATGTTGTCTGCTTGTGCTCCTCTACCTTAGGAAAGTGATGCAGTCAGATGAGAACACTGGCGAATCTCAGGGGTGGATAGGCCTCAAGATCCTATCAGAGCAGTAACGATGAACAACTGGTTTATCCTTCCACATCTTTCTGCTATTTGTATGTACAAAAAGTATTCCTGTGTGTGTTCACTTTAAGTGAAAACAGGAAAATCATATTTAAAGGTATATGCAGGTCAAATTTTATTTTGTATGGGTGATATATGCTGATTATACATGTATGTATGCATGTAGGCCAGACGAGGACATCAAGTATCTTCTTCATGGCTCTCTCTGAACTCAAAGCTGGCCATTTTGGCTAAGTTGGCTGACAGTGAGCTCTGGGGATCTGCCTGTCTCAGTTCCCTGATGCTGGGGTTACAGGCAGATAGGGCTGTGTTTGGCTTTTAGGTGGGTACTGAGGATTGAAACTCAGGTCTCCTTGTTACAGAATAAGGACTCTTACCTACTGAGCCATCTTCCTAAGCCCTCAAATTTGGTAATATTATGATGCACCGGAAACTGATTTTTTTGGGTAGTTTTTGAGACATATGGAACTGGCTCTACCAATTTGATACTACAGTCTGTTCTGAAGGTCTTGTGTATACTAATGCACAAGTGTGCAGGTACAGAAATGAGACTGTATGAAGACCAGGGCGGGGGTCAGCACTGGGCGTAGGTTCCCTAGGAGCCATTCTTTCATCTGTTTGAAATGGTGTTTCACTACATAGCTGGCCTCAAACTTAAAAGAGAGATGTGCCTACACCTGTACCCCAAATTCTGGGACTAAAAGCATTTGTGAGATGTCAGTCCATCTTTTGAGACAGGGTCTACCACAAGCCCCGAGGCTGTGCGTGAGTGCTGGAAATGGAGCTGAGCCCTGAGCTGGTGAGACAAGTTCTCTATCAACAGCCACTCTCAGAACAGGAAGGCATTTTATGGCAGAATGGTAGGGTCTTTATGGTAGAACTCTGGGAAACAGTTTGGCATTCTTGTGTTGCCTTGCACTTTTCAGATTGCTGCCCTTGGGAGAAAGGAGACGACTCAGCAGCCAATGGAAGCTTCTGCTGAGGCTCCCTGTCAACTTACAGGAAGAATCCTTTCTGCAGAATCCAGGCAGCACAAGTGGCTGCTGTTCCTCGGTGGAATACAGCTGTATTTCCCCTGGGAGAGTGCAGAAACGAGTTAGGGTGGCTTCTTTGTTCTCAGTGCTCTAGTAAGAATGCCAGCACAGTCAAAAGCCAACCAAGATCAACCTCCCTTCCCTCTCAGCAAGGAAATATAGAGACACTCACTCTGTGGGGACCTCTGCCTGCAAGGAGGGTTATGGTCTGGGGCAGCATCCAAGGTAAGGGATCGGATTACAGTCTCACACACAAATTGAGTCCCACTCAGGTCTTCCTCTGTTTCTTCGACTGAAGCAGGGGTCTCAGCCTTCCTCTTTGCTGATACAGTGGAATCTGAAAGACACACAAAGCCTTCTGTACTTAGTGTCTGAAGAGCCAAGAGCTTCCACCAGTCAGTGCATCCTATGCCTGGGTGAGGGAAGAGGCGCTCCTGCTGTCATGAGACATAGAGAGCGAGGGATGCTACGGGACATCCATTTGCTGAGGTAGAGGTAATGAGGAATGGATGTGTGAGGACAGGTGTGGATGGAAAGGGGAGGCACATGCTTTACAGATATTTAACCCCTTACCAGGAGGTGCTTTAAATCCCGCCCCTTCACTCTCTTCCTGTATCTGCCCCAAGCCTGGCTTCTCTATTAAAGGATTGTCATGTGGCAGAGGAGACATGCAGGGAGTCATATCTGGAGAATGAAGACAGGAAAACCATCAACCGAGAGAAAGCATGACATCATAAACAGTCAAGTGTCCAGAAGCAGCAGTTTGTAGGTTTCTTGCTTCCTACAGGGTTAAAATAAACCCAAATATGCTCTACCACCTGTCACGTCATAAAGAACTTCTCTAGATCACCAGGAATGCAACCAGCTCTGGCTGATCAAAGCTGGGTCACAAGTAAATGGCCTAGAAGGTCAAAGCCAAGATACAAAACTATGAGTAAAGGAACAAAGGGAGAAATGAAGAAGGGGTCCCTTATAATATGGCAGCCCTGAACACACTTATACTGTGGTACTGACAGACAACAGGGAAAGGAGGAGATGAACCATGGGTACAAAGGAGATGAACCATGGGTACAACTTCACTGTCACAGCATGGGAGGAAGCCTCGCCCTCTAGCGCCATGCAGACTGTAATGCCAACACCTTAACAAGATCTGCGAAGTGATGGTCTTACCCACAGGGGTGTTGTGTGGCACTCTCTCCAATTCTTGGACAATGTTTATATCCAGCAGCTCAAAGGACAGCAGGTCCTAGAAAAAGAGATGGCCAAATAAAGGTGTCTGCAGCACAAGTGGGAGCCATGTTCTTTCACGACTGGACCTTCAGGTCTCCTGCACATTGCCTGGATTCAATTCTGTTCAAATTCATGTCCTTCCTCAACTAAGTGACTAGAAGAGTTAAACGGGAACTTGGTGAACTCTAAGTGGCAGGGGGAGAAGGAACAGTGGGCAGGCAAGTGAAGTGGGCTAAGATTACGTGACCACTGGAGGGAAGCTGTGGGGAAGCACAAGCCCGAGCTTCCAACTCAGGAGGAAACAGTTTAGAAACTTGCTCCATCTCATCCTCATTACATACTGGATCCAGCCTGCCCATCTCTAACTCCCCAGAACCTATGCTGCCTTCTCAGTAACAAGGCGAAAGCTCGTTCCTCAGTACTCACTCTCTTTCTGCCCTTGTCCCTTAAACTGTTTACCTGGGCAGTCAGAAGGTCCACAGATGGAATGTAGAGCTCACTGGCAGCATGTGGTGTCTTCTGTGGGGCGCTGGCTCCTGTCCCTTCTGCCTGCTTTGTCACCTCACCCAATGGAATCTCTTCTTCAGCTAGAAGAAAAGCTTCCTATAGGGACAAAAATCGGGATGTATTTTAGGACCTCAACGGAGCTCAAGCACCAGGATGACAAGGTCACCCCTAAAATAAACACAGCAGAACCTCTACATTAACATTTTTTATTTTATTTACGACTTCTAGAGTTCACATACTGTTCCTTCACCTACTGTCTTCTACAATTTTATTAAGTACAGTTAGAGTTCACATACTGTCCTTCACCTACCATCCTCTACAGCTTCATAAAGTACAGTTGGCCCAAACCAGGAAATGACACTGATCGGCTCTAACTTCAGACAGTAGAATCTGTTCCACTAACAAAAAAGCAACAACAGGCTGCAGCAGCAACAGGCAGACGAGGATGCCGCTAGAGCTCAGGGATACTCTAGGAGGATCCTAGAGTTAAGGAGTTGCCTGGCAGGCCAGGCTGCCCTTCTTTTTCTGGTGCAGCAAGCACCATCACAGACAAAAGCCCTCTGGACTGCCTCCACCTGCACCCCAAGGACATGAAACACCTTGAGGACTAGGCCAAACACCAGCATAAAAATGTATTGTAGGAAGGAGAATTCCCAGAATCCCAGGTTAAAAGCCTGACCCCCTAGAACCTGCAGTGGTGGTACATGTCTTTAATCCCCGCACAGGCAGGCAGGGGCAGGTGGATCTCTAAATTTGAGGCCTGGTCAACAGATTGAGTTCTAGAACAGCCAGAGCTACACAGAGAAACCTTGTCCAAAAAACCAAGAAGGAAGGAAGGAAGAAAAGGAAAAAGAAAAGAAAAGGCAAGGCTTAGCTTCCCTAGAAGCATTACTAGACAATGAATGTTTCCAAGGTGTAACCTTACATGAGATCCTTAAGTCTGGTCCCTTCTTCTTTTTCTTGTCATCTTGGCCTAAGTGGCATTTTTTTTTGCTATGCTGTATGTTCTGTCAATACAGTCTAATGCCCCAACTAGTGGCCTGAAAGCACTGGGTCTGCCTAATTACAGACAGGAACCTTTGTAACTTCGACCCTCTCTCTTTATAAGTTAACTATACACTATCCTGTCACAGTGATGGGAATTCAGAAACAGTAAACTGTCAGGAAATCTGCAAGAATAGCAAGCTACCAGTGAGTTCTTTTACATTCAGGTCCCTCTCTCAGTCTCTAGCAAGAACTAGCCTTGAACCTGCAATATTCTTGCTTCAGCCTCCCAAGTGCAAGAACTATAGGCATGTGTCACAAGCCTGCTGTTGGTAATGACTGGGAAATAATCTGGGCTAACAGCTCTAAGTGCTCACCTCTTGCTCACAGGTGAAATCATCAGCTTTGCTTGAGCTATTTCCGTCCCTTTCAACATTATCAGGGCCCTCAGAGGAAGGAAAAGGATCTACTATGATACTGCACCAGACTCGAGGCCCAAACTGCTGGCCTTTGTGAGAGAGGCGCCAATGCGAAGTGTATGTCCCCTCCAAGGTTGGAGCAATGAACTCCACAGATACGATCCCAACATGGCCAGCCTTCAAGCAGGGAACCAAAACATCCTTCTTCTCTGTAGAAGCCAGAGTCAAGTTTCCCCACATGAACTTGAGCTGAAAAGAACAGGACACTTGTCAGCTGTGCCCTCTGCTACTACTCATCCCTTTCTTCACACTCGGTGGGGAAACGTACCTTTGTGTCTGTGTTCCACTTCACATTCCCTGTGTTTTTCATCCTCCAGTGCTTGATAAACTTGGTTCCTGGCTGAAGATGAGTCCCATCAGGCAAATTCTCATCCACAAATGCTGCACTGAGTGTTGGCATAACTGGGGCACAGGGCTGCAAAGGAAGCCTGCACAGAGATGCAGATGCTTAGCTACTTGGTACTGGTGTGCCGGCCTTGGAATATGCCACACTGTGGCTCCAGGGAAGGGGGTACTGATAAGGCTGTGAGAAGACTCAGCTGAGAAAGGTGCATGCCATGCAAGCTCAGAGACCTGAGATCAATCCCCAGAATACATAAAGATCAAAGAAGAGAACTGATTTCACCGGCATGCGTGTCAAGTCAAGGCACACATGCTCCCCCCAACCCCTGATCAAATTCCAGGCCATAAAACAAAGATATGCTGCCTAAAGGGTAATTATAAGTGTTCATAAATATAGGGTTAATTACAAGTGTTCATAAATACATCTGGAGACTTGCTTCTTGGTTCCAATCCTGCCAGACTGCCTCCAGAAAAGAGAAGTCTGAATTATTCGTTCTAAGCCTTATTAGTTTTTTGCTTTTTGAATGAGGCATCAAAATTGAGTGTCAAAAATAACTCCTGAACCATCTTAGAAGACAATGGGAAGCTAAAAACAGGTGAGTGCTCAGAGACATAACAGGTAAAACAAAGGGTGGCTAAAATTCCTGTTTCAGAGAGCTGGATGGGAAGCCACACCCCTGCCCTGGCCCTGGACTCACATCAGGGTGTTAGACTGCAGCAAGCTTTCAGGTCGGCCCAAAGGGGACTTGGGACTCTGAAGTCCATGGATTGAATTCCACAGATGAATCTTCCTGTGGAGTTTAAGCTGCTTTTTAAGCTCCTTGACCTCTGCCTTCCGCTGTTTCTTCTCAGCCCGCAACCGTTGCTTTTCTGCTTTCACAAAGTTCTTATCCACCTGTTTTTGGAGCCTGTGGGATAGTGAATGAATGCCTTGAAACATAGAAAGCCCTCAAGGCTGTTTGGTGTTGGGTGCACACTAGTTTCTTAATTTCGTTCATAGCCATCATTTCTATTTGATGAGTCTCAGACAACTGTTCCATTACTACACACCGACTGAGGAGGAGCAGAGAGAAGGAGACTACTAATCATTCTGTGACACTTGTGAGTGCTGGGATGAAAGGCATCTGGCCAGATTTTAAAAAAAGATTTATTTATTTTTAATTCATGTGTATGTTAGCTTGAATATGTATATGCACCACATGTGTGCCTGATGCCCACAAAGGCCAGAAACATGTGTCAGGTCTCCTGGAACTGGAGTTATAGACTGTTGTGAGCTGCCAAAGTGGATGTTGGGAAGTGAACCTCAGCAAAAGCAGCCAGAGCTCTTACCATGAGATATCTCTTCAGCCCACTCAGATATTTTCAACATCAGTACTTTGTGTCAGCAGAGTCAAAAAGCCAAATAGATGAGCAGCCACAAGTGTATGGCTTTACCTGACTTGTTCCAAAGCAGCAGGCAGACGAGGAGTGGAATACTTTGAGTAGAAAAATGGCTCAGAGGTAATCACAACAGGTCTCCGCAACTTTAGCAAAGCATGATTAGTGTCATGAGCGTACGGTCCAGCTTCACAACCTTCACAAATGTTGTAGGATGGGCACAGGCTGTGTGAGAAGACCAACACAGTAAAAACTTAACAGCAGAAAGTCCTTGAAGTAGAGAGGAATGAACCAGATTAAGCTTTACGTTCCATTACCAGCTGGATGGTGACTTTCAGTTGCCACTTGGCTATGCCAAGGCTGAAGTTCCTCATTAGTAAAATGAGAAAAGTAACTCCTACTCATACCTATTTCCATGAAATAGTTTATGGAAAGTAAGATACAAGAACATTTTGGCCGGGCGGTGGTGGCACACGCCTTTGATCCTAGCACTTGGGAGGCAGAGGCAGGCAGATTTCTGAGTTCGAGGCCAACCTGGTCTACAGAGTGAGTTCCAGGACAGTCAGGGCTACACAGAGAAACCCTGTCTCAAAAAAAAAAAGAAAAGAACATTTTGAACAAGGGAGTGTGGGGAATCTATCCTTAGTGACCTACTTTTGACTGAGGGAACTTAATTTTGCCTCATTCTGAAGAGCACTCTCAATAGTTCCCAGTAAGCCCACAAAGCATGCAAATGAGTAGCTTGTGCTTCTAAATCAAAGCCACATTACCTACTGCTGGAGAAAGAAGATGTACAGCTTCCCTTAAACTTCCCAGAATGCTAGTCAGTCGCTGCCTCTGCTCAGGGACTGCTTACCTACACTGGTAGCGCACACCGACGATCCTCTTTTGGCAGTGGCTACAAGCAATATGCCAGCTGAACTGGTTCTCTGGCAAAAACAGGGTTCCCTCCGAAATAGGCATTGAGACTTCTGAGGGTGAGGAACCCAAGGGTGGCTTCTGGAGGATAAGCTTCTCCTGCAACCTCTGTTCAAGCTTCTCCACCGTTTCCTTAACCACTTGTTCTCTGAACTACAATGCAGAACAGAAGGTAGGGGAACTCAGTTCCAGCACCAGGAAAAGTGGGAAGAAATAGCTTTGGTTCTGTCTCTGGTGTAACTCAAGAACATGGCTAATGGCTACTGGAGGAATGCATAGAAATATAATAGGTCTCTTCCTCTCATGGAAGTGGATTCTTTCTTGGGACAATGCTGTTACTGTGTCCTCAAGCACGGACATCTGTCCCCTCACATACTTAGAACTAGATCATCTCTTTTTATGATGCTTCAGGGAAAGGTTAGAACTTCCTTCATTCCATCTACTCTATGTTAGAAGTCATAGCTGCCACTCCCATGCACCAGAGGCTGGAGCCATCTGGGTTCAGCTTTCTACCTGTGCCAACAGTGCTGCTAACACCCAGGTCAGAGAGGACACTCACCATCTCCAGGTAGCTTGTAAACCAATCTGGGGGCTTATTTTGAGGCTGGTCTGTGTCACAAGGAGCAGGAGAACATGGCTGGGAGAAAATACAAGAGAAGTTACTTTTTCTAAATTTTTCTAAAATGTATTACTTCTTTAATCAAATGTCAAAATCATGTGACATGCAAGTGTTTTTTTTTTTTTTTTGTGAAAGAACACAAAAGAAAAATCAAAATGTGTATTCTAGTTTCTTCCCTTTCTCTAGAAGTAAATCAAGGTTGCTAGTTCCAAAAATTCAGATCCAGATGGTCACTGTAACACCCAAATCTTTGTGTACATGAGTGAGCAGTGGGTGCACGTGGAGGCTGGGAGACCTTGGGTGTTATCCCTCAGGCACTTTTTTTTTTTTAAATCTTTTTGAGGCAGACTCACTCACTGGCCCGGAAATAGGCAACTAGGCTAGGCTGGCTGTCCTGTATGTCCCAAGAATCCTCCTGTCTCTTCTTCTTCAGTCCTGAGACTGATTACACATATATGACACATGGCTTTTATGTGAGTCTGGGCACATATGTAGCAATCGGAAGACAGCACTGGATGTTGAGTCTTGCCTTCCACCTTGTATGCAACAAAGCCTTTTTCTATTGTTCACAACTGCACACGCCAAGGTAGCTGGTGAGTCAGTTTTCAGAGATCCTCCTGTCTCTGCTTTCCATTTTGCCATAGGAGCACTGGGATTACACACACATCAGGGTTACAACATGACATGCCTGTGAATTTTTTTTTTGGGGGGGGGATTTGAACTAATGTACTGATGCTTACACACCACCTCTTTACCCAGTAACTCATCTCTCCAGCTTTACGGTTTTTTTAAACATGGGTTCTGGGGATCAAACTCAGGGTCTTGTGCTTTCAAGGCTATTTCCCCAGCCTCTTTGCCCAAATCTTTGATGACTATTCAAATGTGATATAAGAGACAATGAGAAGTAAGGTTAGAGTTGGACAGATAGGCCGATACTCTTCATACCTCTGCTGCAGGCTCCTCTGTGGTCTTCATATCTGAGCCCAAGACTCTCACCAGTGAAGAATAATGTGCAAGTGGCTTCTTCCCTGTCCTGGCAGCTGCTTGTTTTTTTACTACATTTTGAGGGAATGTTTCATTTACCACATGGTACCTTTCATGGACTTGCATCTGTAGTTGATTTCCTTGCTTAATGTTAGCCATCTAAAAGTATGTTACAAGAGCATGTTACAAAATAAAAATACATTGTGGTTCTCCTTTTCCAAATGAAATGTCAAAGCACTGAAATACACAAGTACAGTAAACTGTGCTATGATTGTTGTTTACATTTCTAAGTGAACAGGCTGAACACCCTTAATTAAACTTAAACCTTTGAGGTGCTGACATGATGCCACAAGTGGAAAATTAGCACCTGGCATTTTATGATCAGTAGTAATCAAAATAGTGTGTACTAAGAATACTATAGAAAATTACCTTTAGGCTATATAAAGTATATATGAGACAAATAAATTTCAAATTTAGCCTTGGGACTCATTCTTAAGATATCTCATTATAAAGGTACAAATATCCCAAAATCAAATTTAAAAAATTGAAGCATATCTGGTTCTAAGCATTTTAGATAAAGATAGTCAACTCTACATTAATATCTAGCCTGATGATTGTCAAGAATATTAACTACAAATGGCTTTATTAAAATTTGAAGAAATTGTTAGGTGAGATTTTGCCATCTACTCGGTTCTTCTTTAATTATTTTGTCTGTTTTTACTTGGGGTCTACCTGGGTTACCCTGGCTGGCATCCAGCTCAAGAGCCTCCTGCTTCACCCTCTGAGGTGTGTATAACCTGTGAACTGCCTGTTCTGTAAGGTATTAACTCTAGTCTCAACTTTCTAAAAAATAAAATTAATTCCATGGATACTTAAAGCTATTCCCTATGGCTAAGCATTTACTTTCTCCTACCTTAGTATTTTACAAAGCAAGCTTAAGTAGTTGTATCTTTGTGAAGAACACCTTCCTAATAGAGTATTATGGAAACCCCAAGAAGCTATCTGGTTTTCATGACGGTATATAAACGTTTACGAAAAATTAGGGACTGAATAGCTAAGCGTCTACCCCCCCATCCCATAACTATTTTTCCTTTACCTATACAATAGTCTTAAGATTCCTATTAGGATGGGGATATTGAACACTTGTCTAGCACACATGAGGGGCTGAGTTAGCGCAGCATTGCAAAAAAGGAAAAAAAATCACCTAAAATTTCCTGTACACAATATATTTTATTTGAAACTGGGTTTTGTTCTGTTGCCGAGGTTATCCCTAAACTAGACTTAAACAATCCTCTTGCCATCTCTCTCTTGAGACACAATCTTGCTATACAGCCTAATTTGTCTTTGAACTCAATGATCCAGGCACTTGGGCCTCTAGAGTGCTGGAATTACAGAAGTGTACCATCATGCCCAGGGCTGCTGCTGCTTCTTTCTTTTTCTTTATTTATGTATGAGTACACTATCTGCATGTACACCAGCATGCCAGAAGAGGGCATCAGATCCCATTACAGATGGCTATAAGTCATCATGTGGTTATGTGGTTGCTGGGAAAATGAACTCAGAACCTGGAAGAACAGCTAGTACCTTAACCCCCAAGGCCTCTTTTTAAGATGATGGCATTAAGACCTGCAATGAGATGACACAACACCTTGAGCTGTAGTAAGAACTGCTTGCTGCTGAGTCACCTGCTCTATTTACCACAGACTCCCTAACTAATGGGTGTCATTCTACTTATTCTTAGTACTTTCCAGCGGAGTTTCGGTTTCAATAAGTTATTTTTCAAATTACTTGAAAATAATATGAAGTAAACATTACCTTAAGTGCTTCTTCATATTCTCCTAAAGGGACAAAACAAAACAGTGATTTTTTTTTAACTAGTTTTACAAATTACACTGAATATCATCTACCCTACAGTTTTTTTTTTGCTTTTTGGGGGGTGGAAGAATCTAGCTATGTAGCTCAGGGTGACATCAAACTTACAATCCTTTGTGTGTTGGGACTACAGAAGGGTCATACCATACTTGGCTAATCCTATAGTTCCAGTGTACAGCATAAAGACTATAGTTAATAATGATGTATTAAAAATCTTTCTTTAGATTGCAGCTACTTTCACCCTGAAGTGGCAGAGGCAGGGTGTGCAGGGTGGCAACTATGAGATGACACATATTTTAATTTTTTTACTGAAGTAACCTTTTAAAGCCACCTGTATATATTTTGTATCAATGTTGTGATACAATGTTGTGACTCCTTAAAATATATATAATTTATTTTAAAAACCCTACTCAAATTCTTAGACTCTTCATATATGGACTCCCTTCTTGTTATTATACAGTGTTCTTCCTTCTGGTCATAAAAAGATTTCATTCCTGGCCTCTTCTCCTATAGCTATGACAACCACAGCACAGTAATACAGTGGTAGCCAGGACTCTGGCAATGGAGTTGTTACTCCACTGAGGTGTCAGGAGACCCTTGCCTGAGATTCCACTCCTCTCCCTAGCTGCAAGAGGTCTTGAGAGATGATAATCTATTTAAAGAAGTGGAAGACGGCTAAAAGTAGCTCTCCATGATACAGTAAGACTGCAGACCATGATGGAGTGGGACACTGTGGCGATCTAAGTGTTTGTTTCCTCCCACACTCTTTCTTGCACATAACTCTGCTCTGCAAGAAAGCCTAATGAACTCACTGCTTCCACCAAGTTGGACTTTGATCTGTTGTGCCCACCTGGTGTGGCATCTCCTCTGGAAAAGTCATTGCAATGCCATCCAGTGCCAAGAGAAGCGACAACCAAGCACCTTCCTTTCAAGTCCCCTGTGCTGCTCTAGCTGTCTAAGTACAAAATATCAACCCGAATCCTCTATCTACGCTTTGTGAAGTCTAAGATTCAGTGAAGTCCCTGGACTGTGTTAAGACTATCATTTTACCTGGTTCACATAAGGTAGGGACTACAACCAATTGTCTGATAAACACGGCACTTGCCTGTGCATTGATATTCACATATAAGCCAGGTCAAAAACAAAAACAACACCAGCAGAATGAGTTGTATGTGACAAACTAGCTGTGTATCATTTTCAGAAGATCAGCATCTTAAATATCATGTTGGATAAGACCTGTCCTTATGATCTATACAAATGTACTACCTTCTATTAAAAACATTGGTATACAATAAAAGTCCCCTAGGAGGGTGGAGGCATAATCCTGAAACCCAGTATTCAGGAGGTGGAGGCAGAATTGTATGTTGTACAAGGTCAACCTAGGCTACACACTGAGTTAGAAGTAAGCCAGAGATACCCTGAGACCCTGCCTCTGTAGGACAAAAGAATCTCCTACAAAACTAATGCCACAGATAACTGGGTACAACATTGGTTTACAGTATACCAAAGTCTATTCTAAAATGTATGCTAGAGCAAAGCAGGATTTAAATGGAAACATCTCAATGGGCAGATTAATTTGTCTGGAAACAGTTTCACTATGTAGTCCAGATTGCCTTTAAATCAGGCATCCTCCTGCTTCAGCCTCCTTAGTACTGGACTTAAAGATAGATACTCCTATGTCAGGCAAATTTTAAGTAAAGCTAATAAGATTTTTCTCAGGAACTTACCTTGACTATTGATGGATATCTATGAAGAGAAAAAAAAAGCAACAATGAATTCTAAGTCTTATCACCTGAGCATTTTGTTAACTAGGACCAGTCTCATAGCAAACTCCCAGGTCAGGTGGTCACCATTCCTACTACTGCTTAACAAATGTGCTGTTTTATCTTAGGGGCATTAGCATGTAGCAGAGTGTAGGTCGAGGAGCACGGGGTCTGGGGACCCTACTTCAGTGCTTTTGTGCCTTCGGGCAAGATCCCTAACCTCTCAGAGCTTCTGTTTCCTTATGGCAACGATAATGACGTACCCGACATACAGCATTGGTAGTCTAGTGCAGTGCATTGCAGCCACTTCATAAAGTGTCCCTGCTTAGCCCCACTATCATCATAAACTAAATGATAGCCTTGATGTCATTTTAGCTTCTTTCTCTAATATTCTTCATGTTGCTTTACCATTACTCAACTCCAGCTCAGATGCCAATAGTTTTTGTTATTGTTGCTGTTTTGAGACAGAGTTCCTCTGTGAGCCCTGGCTGTCCTAGAACTCGCTCTGTAGACCAGGCTGTCCTCAGAGGTCCACCTGCCTCTGCCTCCCTGCCCATAGTCTTCATGAAGTATGCAACTATCAAATACATTTAAACTATTAGGCAAATGAGATAAAACTATTATGAACTTTTTTCTTTTGTTCTCCCTATGGCTCTTTGAGACAATCTTTTGTTCTCAAGTCCAGGTTGGCTTAAACTTCCCAAGTAAGCCATTAAAATCAGCTTTATTCTGAACTTTTAAGCTCTGTATCACTCTGGAAAGATCCCTGTTCTAAATAGCTAATAATGGAGTTCACAGATACTTTACCTCCTCATTTTCCTCATCCAGGTATTTTATTTGGATAGTATTCAGATCAAACGAAACTTTTACCTGCAAATAAAACAATTCAGTGTATCTCACTATATACAATTAAACATTTTAACTTTCTTTTATTGAATATGAACTTCCCCAACATGACATGCATTAGCAGTAATGGTGGAACTTGTAGACCTTTCTGAGACCACAGCTCTTGCAGCCTGAGATAGCAGCCAATGAATCTCCAACTTACATATTGAGACAAAAACCTCTTGAATCCAGAGCTCATCAATTTGGCTACTCAGCCAATTTGCTTCCAGGATGCCCTAGATGGGCTTCCTAAGCAATTGATTACAGACAGGCCATAACACACACCTTACATTTGTATGGATGTTCACATCTGTATGGCAAGGGCTTAACCCCAGGAGCCCTCTCCCTGGCCCCGTATGCTCATTCTTGTTGTGATGCTGAGGACTCAGTGCAGAGCTCTGGAAACGCTAGCTGAGCTCTTCACTAAGGGAACACAACACCTTAATACAGTTTTAAAAAACAACTACAAACAGACTAAGAGAAAACATCTGCAAGTGGTAATAGATAAAGGGGTAATACTTGGAACACACATACACACACACACACAAAATCATGAAAACTGACAGTAGGAGGAATACTCCAGTGGTCCAGGGCAGTTGTGCACATCCTCAGGCTTTTATTCCCAGCATGCAGAAGGCAGAGACAGGTGGATGTCTGTGTTTGAGTCCAGTCAGAGAAACTTATAAAACAACAAAAATATAACAGAGTAATACAAGTAAAAATGTGCACAAGATTTACAGAAGAGGAAATAGGAATGCCTAATAAATATATAAAGACATATTCAACTTTACCTCTAGCCAAGCAGTGTAAAAAAAGACACAAGTGACACATTATTAAGATGGTAAACATTTTTTTTTGGGTGGGGGGTGGAGGGGGGGAGACATGGTTGTTTCTCTGTAGCTCTGGTTGTCCTGGAATTCACTTTGTAGATCAGGCTGGCCTTGGACTCACAAAGACCTACCCGCCTCTGCCTCCCAAATAGCATGTAGAAGGCCCAACATTTGACCTCCAGCACCACAAAATAAAAAAACAAAAACCCTTCAAGGCATTAAGTCATGTTTCTGGGCATTGTTACAATTACTCTGTGGAACACTTGGCAGCTATCTATTAAAATGCTTTTGATTGTATGCATTTGAGTGTTTTGCCTTCATGCATGCCTGTGTATCACGTGAATGCCTGCTGCCTGCAAAGGAAAGAGGAGGATGGCTGATATTCTGGAACTGCAGCTATAGATAGCTGTGAGCTGCCATCTGGGTCCTCTGGAAGAGCTGCCAGTGTTTTTAACCACTGAACTGTCTCTCCAGCTCCCATCTATCAAAATTTAAAATCAAGCTAACACTTGTTGTATTCAAGCCTACTAACCTGAGTTGAATCCTCAAACTCACCTAAAGGTTGAAGGAATCATCACACACACACACGCACATGCACACACATACACACAGCACAGAGCACACCAATTTTTTAAAGTTCAAAACCCACATCACCTTTGGATAGAATTTACTCTATAGAACTACATGTAAGTTACTCATACTGAGGTGTAGGTCCTGTCTCTTTTATAATGGGAAAAGAAAGAAAATCTTGGTGGGGAAATCAGTGAGTAATGGTTACATCTGTAGTGTTCAGCAATACTAAAGACACTGTGGACTCACAGATTTAAAAGACTCAGCTTTGCTGTGTCTACTGATGAGGAACTACAGCTACAATATACTGTTGGGCAAAAAAGCAAGACACAGAACACTGTTTCTGTATGATGCTACCAGACAACTGCACGGACATGGAAACGTGGGTACGTTCCTCAGGCTGTTTTCTTTAGTTAAACGAGATGTGAACGGCACATGCAGGATAGGAGCTTCTGGACAGACATTATCTCCTTACATGTTAAGACTATTTCATGTCTTATAATGGGCATGTAATACACTTTCATAATTTAAAACTTTCCAATAAAAGAAAACGGCAAGCTGCCAACTCACCCAACTGCTAGAGAAAGAAAGATACCTGGTGCTCAGATCATTTAACAAGACTCCACTGCTACCTCAATAGCCACTGCCTAAGGCAGTATGGACAGAAATCGCTGGAAGGCAGGGAACTAGACTGTAACACACTGAAAGGCCCCTCTCTAAAATTTCCTTCCTTTTGAAGCTACCCACGTAGATAACCAGGTAAAGACATATTTGCAACCAAAAATGGTTACATTAAACACAGATGCACAAGTAGTAAAACATTGACCATGGCAAACCCACGAAACCAGAAGAGTACAAAGGGCAAACCACGATGAAAGAAACTCTTACCAAAGCAAGGACCCAATGAGCTGCTGCATGAGCACCCATGGGAGTTTTTGTTTTTTGCCAGTTCTGAGACAGCCAACCTTTGACCCAGCAATAAAGCAACTGGCAGGTCTTGCAAAACACAAATCACATCCTCTTCAGGAAACAAACAGTGGTAGTATGTCTGCTCTCCAGCCAGACAACAACCCTACGGCCTGGCTGCAGGGGAGGACAGCCTAATTTATCCCTCACAATGTTTCTAAACCCTAAACTAACTCCCCAAACTGCCCCAGAGGTACGTAACCTTAGAGAGGTTTAAAGGAACCTTAGCTGATTCTTCCCTTTGCTCTGGTACATATCCTCTACAAATACCAAATCCCTGTAAAAACAATTTTCTAAAAGGTCCAGAACTGGATGAAACAAACTGCTCAAAACAGCTACATTTTGAAAAATCTCTGTGTTTAAACCAGTAAGAAACAGAACAAAGTGATACTTACCATAGCTTCAACATCAGCCCAGGTTGTATTTTCTGGATCCGAAACCAGAAAGCTTTGAGTTTCATTTTTAAAAGTCACATTTAGAGTAACCTGTGGTTCCATGCTGTCGGCTGGAGCTGAGAGGATGGGTAGATGAAAGGAAGAGGAAGGGATTAAAAACCCACACAGAGACATCTGCTCTAATACATACGTTAGACTCCGGAGATCATAGAGAATAAAAGAAACAATGTCCCCATGATGACATTACTACCTAGTAGTGTGTTTTCTATCAAATCTCACTGTTACATAGAATCTTTTCTCAGAAATAAAGACATTAATGCTCAAATTATTGCCATAAAGACTTGCACTTATATTACAGTTACACTTATATAGAACTTCCATGTTAGAGAGAAAAGCCAAGTTGGGCACACACCTGTTGTCCCAGTTACTCAGGAAGTTGAAGCAGGATGGTAATGGGAGTCCAAGAGTTCTAGGTCAGCCTAGGAAACAATGAGACCCTGTCTTTAGGATTAAAGAGGTGGGGTGCGGGGAGGGAGATGAACATATGTTGAAAGAGTTTACATTTTGACCATATCTACAAAAACTCCTTTAATATGTTTTAGGTCTCTAAGATTTTCACCGCCCTTTTCACTGCTTGGATGGTTGAGCATCTGTAGCATAAGCCAGCAAGATGGATTAACGCAGACAAGGTCTCTGCCTTGGGGAGCACAAGTAGAAGACAGTTACAATTTTAGGCAACGAGTTCAAGCATAGCCTGGGCTACAGAATGAACACTTGTCTCCAGAAAATAAGCAAGCAAACAAACTGACACCAAAATAAAACAACAACAAAATCTACCAAAACCTCTCACAATTACTTATGGGAAAATTTAAAGGTATATAAAAGTAAAGAAAGTAACATAATGAGTCCTTTTGGACCTATCTGCTAGCTTCCACAATATCCAATTGGGAGCTAATTCTGTTATCCAGTATTCTTTTCAGGTGTGTGTGTGTGTGTGTGTGTGTGTGTGTGTGTGTGTGACTGCAAATGGAATACAGATGTCTAGATGCTAGGGAATCATTCTACCACTGAGCTACAACACTGCCCCATGACAATGTCTCTCTTGACAAAATAGTCATCTTTTCATTCGTAAATATTTATGAGAAAAAAAATAAAACCCACCATTATCATGCCTAAGATGCTGGCAATTCCGTAATCAACTACCTACTATTAAAGTCTGTTTGATTGTAATGAATGACTTTGCTTACTGATGAGCTGCGACTTCAGGGGGAAAGACAGTTTAAGTGGTTTAAAGCTACAAGTAAACTCACTGCCTTCTCCCCCCAACCCCCCATCACCTCTTAAAATATTTAGCACATTTTTCAATCTACATCTAGAAAGGGCCAGATTCTGCTCCACATACAAGAGGCAAACAAGATTAAGTCCTAGACTTTTCCAGTGTCACAGAAAGGAAGGCCAGGGGATGGAAGACTTGAGTTCCAGATACACTTCCATCACAAGACTAGTTGTGGAACTGTGAGCAAGACTGTTTATCTCTGAGCTTCAATTGTTTAATCTGTAAAAACAATACTATTTTGCTGACCGTAACAGTGTTATCAAAAGAATCTAATAAAATTATGGCCTAGGAGATTGGGAGTAAGGTGGACCTCGTCAGTCCAAGCATGTGCAAAACTGTAGGGTCAATTTCGAATACCACAAAGTGTGTGAATTCTTTGAACTAATGTCCAAAGATGAAAACTATTATTAACAGAAACAATTCTTTAATTCCTTAAGATAGTTTTTATTTACTAATTTTTGAAGGAGACCTAGTCTCACTCTGCAGCCCATGCTGGCCTGGAAATTGCTATAGATTTGCCTGCTTCTGCCTTCAGAGTGCTGTACTATGGATACAACTGTCATTTTAAGAACCGGTAGGGCTGGAGAGATGGCTCAGCATTTAAAAGCCCTGCCTCCTCCCCCAGAGGATCCAGTTCAATTCCCAGCACCCATGTAGCAGCTTACAACTGTCTGTAAATCCAATTTCAGGGGAATCTAACACCATCCAATAGACACACAAACAGGCAAAACCACCAATGCTCTAAAAATAAATAACAAAAACAAAAGTACCTTATATTCTTGACCCTATTTTATATATTCAGTTAATCATTTTTTTCCCATTACTTGTCTTTATCTAGAGTTAACTTCGCTGCCAAACCAATGCTAATCTCTAGCACCAACCCTGTTGACATCCAGCACTCATTTACCTTAAATGCAATTCTTCCTTAGGAGCTTTAAAATTTAGGCAGAAGCTCATCAACTCCCCAGCACGTTGGAATTTCTTTGTGTTTTTTTTTGTTTGTTTTTTGTTTTTTAAATCAGAAAAACAAAGTGCCAAATGTAAGAGTTCTGAAACACACTCACACTTTGCAACTTCAAGAAATATTCTTCCACTCTTCTGTCTGGAAGGAAACTAATCTTTCCCGTTCTGAAATTACACAAGTGGGAATTAGTTTCCATACTTTGTGGAGTTCAACCAGCTGCTCCGCCAATGGGAGAAAACAGGAAGTAGGGAGATCTAGTTCAGTTGGCCAACATACAGGGTTTCATAAAGGGCTTACAAGTTAAAATTCTTTCACCCAGAGCATTAATCTTGAACTTGTAAAAATATCAAAAGTACAGTTTTGTACTTTTTTTGTACAGTTTAGAAACCACATCTATACCTGAAGGTTTATCTCCAGCAGTCAGGTAGCTGGGCCTAAGCCTGCACTCTCCTAAGTGGCATTGTAAACTCATGCCTTATTGACTCACATTCATGTGGCCAAAGTCAGCTTTTCCTCATGTGATTTTTTTTCAACCCCGACAAATAATTTTAACAAAGCCAACCTGGGAATCTGAACTGCATTTTTTCTACCAGAAGCTGGCACAAGCAACCTAAGCTTTAAAATGTGTGATCTGAAAGGTGGGTGTTTGACATAACGGAAAAACGATGCCTTTCTAACTCGGAAGGTCGTAGGTCAAGATATCTTCCTTCAATAGAGCCTCAAAAATAGGAAAGGGTTAGAATGAGGAAGATATGTGTCCTTTCTTTTCGCAGACTTAATCCTAGTCTTCCAGTAATGGTTTCCCGGAACTCCATGTCCCTAGTGGTGTCCCTAGTGAGTGTCACCACCATCGAAGCCCCTCTTATTGTTCTGCGGGAATCTAGACCTTCTCTTAGCAGACACCGGCCTTTCTAAGCCATGAACTCTCTCCCTCAGGCAGTATCCATCCCCCACTATGGATGACAACCCAAGCGACTCCCTTATCTGGTCACTGAAAACACTGGCTGCCCCTGAACACGGAAAAAGTCACTCCTCTCTGCAAGATTTTTCCCTTGAACGTCCCCGAGCACTCTAAGAACGGCGTGTCCCTACTTCTATGTAATAGAAGTGGCTTCCTTACCAGCTTTCCGCCCACGGGGGGCGCTTGCCAGTGGCCAGTGCAAAGACCGTTCGCGGCCAGCTCGACTGCTATCCCTGCGGGGTGAATCTAACATGGCGGACAGAGACCGGGCCTAGTCCCATGTTTCCCGGAGTTTTCCACAAGATGATTGGCTCTTTCTATTTGCCCCTCAAAATCACCACTCTACCGATTGGTCAGTGCTGCGTTGGCAAGGGCGGGACAGAAGAGCTCTGAACCGCACAACAATAACAAACACCAAGGCCGAGGGGCGGAACTAGTGCGCAGATGTCAGCTGGTTGGATTTCCCTTTCCCAAGCCGATTGGCTACCCTCTGCTTTTCCCAAGACACCGACATTGGAAGACTAGTTACCCGAGAATCGCAGGGCTGGACGGGAATTGTAGTCTTCCTGGAACTTATAGCTCCTTTTAGTCTACTTTCTGTGCACAAGACACGAACACAGAACGCTGCGATGCATAGCAGCTAATTGCATAACCGCGAGAAGGTCTCCGCTGTATCGACTGGGCTACTGTGGTAATCGTGCCTGCTTCCGGTGTGGGAAGCTCCTTTTCTGTAAGACTACAATTTCCAAGGGATGCTGTGGAGAAGGCCTTTCGTTCCGCAATGCATGCTGGAATTGGTAGTTCTTTTTACACAATCCTCTATTTACCGAAACTGGAGACTTCCATGGCAGGAAGGCTGAGGGAGGGATGAGACCTCGTCTTGCAACTGCTTTGGGCACTACCTTGCGCTCATATTCCGACCTCAGGTAGCGATTCCGACTCTTTGTACATAATTACTGTTACGTAATAAGCAGGCGTAGATGCGAAGGGGGTGCCTAATAGGAAACGCAAAATTCTTTCTCTTCCGTCTCTTTCTAGTGACGACATATAGGAAAAGACTAGGTAGCCAATCTTGAGCTCAGAAAGAGTTTCAGTCCCCCCCCCAACTTGCTCCTCCTTTTCCTTCCGCTGACGTGTCTGGATCTCATGTTCCGAAAGGCTAGCACTAGGCGCCAAGCGACCGGTTTCCTTGGCGACGGAGAGCGCGGGAATTTCAGATAGATTGTAATTGCGGCTGCGCGGCGGGTGCGGGTGCAGCCCGAGGACCCAGCGCCTTTCCAGGGACTTCTCCGGCATTTAGGCCTCGACGCTTGGAAGCAGAGATCTTTTTCTCAGAGGAAAGGTGAGACAGCCCTGAGGAACAGGGAGGGTACCTCGGAATACTCCTATGAAAGGTGGGAAACTGCAGGTGGAGACGGGTATTTACTGATTAGGAAAGTGCCTGGGGCAGAACCAAGGGGTCCAAGAGGTTTTCAAACAGGACTCCTGGGAAGGGTGCAGTTTGTGCATTCCCAGAGGCAGCTGTGAGGAAGAGGGCAAAGGATGTGTGAGGGGGGAGTCCTGGCTGTAATCGTACCTTGAAGGCAGCATAAGGATGCGGGCTAAAGGAAGAGGGGAAAGGCGGGCCGAAGTGTGGCAGGGAAGAGGAAAAGACCGGAGTTTGTGGAGGGAAACTCCTGAAGTACTAGACCCCTGTACATTTCACATAAGGTGCTAGAAGGGAAGTACATAAAGGAATGGCAATAGTAATGAATGCTGTTGGCAGAGAAGACGTATTTAAAGAGTCTGAGGTTAAGTACCCTAACAGGGAAACATCCAGAAGAGGTAGAGTTGAGAAGCGTCAGCAGATTCGAGCGTTCCTTTTGGTGAATTTTTAAAAACATGTGTGCTGCTTTTTTGTTTGGTTGATTAGGGTTGTTGTTGGTGGTGGTGGTGGTGGTTTGGTTTTGGTTTTGGCTTTTGTGTAGCTTTGGCAATCCTGGAACTAGCTCTGTAGACCAGGCTGACCTCGAACTCACAGAGATCAGCCTGCCTCCTCCTCCTGAGTGGTGGGTAGTTGATTAGTTTTGAGACAAACTCTAGTCTCATTTGGCTAGAATGAAATGTGTATATAGAGCAGGCTGATCTTCCACCTGGACCTGCCTCTGAGGAGGAGGGGTTAAAAATATCCACAGCCGTGCTCAGCTAGTTTTGGAGTTTTTGAGACAGGCTCTTCTGTAATCCGATTGGCCTTGAACTCCTTTTGTAGCTCTAGGTGACCTTGAACTCTTCATCCCACTGCCTGTACTTCCTCAATGCTCAAAGTACAGGTTGAAACCACCATACCTGATCTTTTGGCCTCCCGAACTAGCCCAGAAAGACTGCTGAACTTCTGAGTCCAAGCCATCCTCCTTCAACTTCTCCAGGCCCTGAGACTATAGGTATGACACCACTGCACCTTGCTTAGTTTTGATTTTAAGCAAGAAAAAGAAAACCAGACGCTGGAGAAAGTTCATATATACCACTTCTGTTCAGTCACTCCACTGTAGATTTTTTTTTTTCTTGGAGAAAGGAAATGACCAAAAGAAGACTTTAGAGGCTACATATCAAAGAGTAGAGAATTTAGATTGTTAGCTGAAAAGTGCAACTGCTAAAGAATTTTATTTATTTGTTTATGTATTTATTTTTGTTTGTTTTTTGTTTTTTTGAGACAGAGTTTGTCTATATAGCCCTGGCTGGAAGTTCACTCTGTAGACCAGGCTGGCCGGGAACTCAGAGATCTGCCTGCCTTTGTCTCCCCAGTGCTGGAATTAAATATATGTGCCACCACTGCCTGGGGAAATTTTTATGTTTTAAAGGTTCATTTTTTATTATCTTTAATTATGTGTATGTGTGTACAGTGGTTCTGATCTGATCTTGAGTTCCAGACATCTGACATGGGTGCTGGGAATAGGCACATACTTTTAACTACTAAACAATCTCTCCGGACCCTGAGTTTTTTGTTTGGGGTTTTTTAAAGGAATTTTTTTTTTTTTAAAACAGTTCCATTCGTTGTATAAATGTGAGTACACTGTCACTGTCTTCAGACACACCAGAAGAAGGCATTGAATTCCATTCTAGATGGTTGTGAGCCATCATTGTGGTTGCTGGGAATTGAACCTCTGGAAGAGCAGTCAGTGCTCTTAACTGCTGAGCTCTCTGGTTAGCCCCTTGTTTTTGTTTTTTAGTGAAGTTTTTTTTTTTTCATCAGCTCTGTGGTTGGTATAATTCTAAAGGACTCCAAATTTAAATTTTTCTTATTTAGAAATGACAAGCCAGGTGCAGTAGCTTACCCCTGTGCTCAGAAGGCTGAGGCAGGATGATTGCTACAAGTTGGAGGCTAATCTGGGCTGCATGGTTATTTCCAGACATGTGTGGGCTGCAGAGTGAGGACTCCTCCAAAAAGCATGGATGAGGGTGACTTACTTTCAGTAATTCAAGCACTGAGGGGGTGGAGGCGGGAAGATGGGAGGCTTAAGACTAGCCTTGAGCACATACGGGTACAAAGCCAGTGTGGGTTATATGACATCTTGCCTCGAAAAGGAAAAGAAAGTTGACAGGTAAGCTACTGTATTTAAAAGCCTTTTAATGTAGTTTAATTACATGTGCTTTTAAATTTGTGTTAAAAGTTTGTTGGAACTGGAAGAAATGGATTTATCTGCTGTTCGAATTCAAGAAGTACAAAGTGTCCTTCATGCTATGCAGAAAATCTTAGAGTGTCCAATCTGGTAAGTCAATGGAAGAGTTTACTAATCTGAGATTGTTTATGTGATTACCTTTCATGCAAAATAAGTAGAAGTGGCTTTAAGATAGTAGAGAAAAGCAATCTATTAATATTAAAATGATGTTGAATTTTTCATCACTGAAGAGTTTTAAAAATACAGAAAAGTAGTCTTCACTCTGCCACCCCTCCCCCCTTTCCCAGACAAAGACTGTCTTAATGTGTTCTTCCTCATGGCAGGATTCTGACTTTCTCCAGCTGTAGGACCAGCCTGATCTCTTAGAATGACTGTAATAAATATCGTCAAAATAAGATAAGAATGCTTGGGATTTGTGAGAGCATCTGTCTCAGGGTGAGACTTGAGCTGAAACTGGTCCTATAAGTTTAAATGAGAACTCCACCAGTCCTCAAAGCTTTTAGCAAGTCCAATGTGGAATGAGGTTTTAAATTTCTTTTTCTATGAAATGAAGAGAGGACCAAGGACCAATCTTTTGTTGGTCTATTCAGGCATTTCCACATTCCTGCTTATTTGTATGTGTGTGTGTGGGGGGTGTGTGGAGGGGTTACACTATATAGACCAAATCAGCCTCAAACTCATTAACTCACCATCTTACCCAGGCTTGCCTTGAACTCAGATCCTCTCGCCTCAGCCTCTTGTTTGCTAGGGTTCTAGGCTTACATTACCACACCTGGCTAAAAGAATGAGTTTTGACCAATGTTTGTGTAACTCTTACCGCCAAGATAGGAAATGTTTCTATTACCCTGGAAAGTTCCCTTGTGTACTCAGGGAGTTCTTAATTTTCAAGCCTTCTAGGACCTTTGGAAATTAGTTTTTAGTGTGTGATTTTGTGGTTCTTAGATTTTTATGCACTAGGGCTTAGAATGTAGCTCAGTAGAGTGACGTAGCTAGCACACTGGAAGCCCTGGGTTCAGTTTCCACCACTGCATAAGTTGGCAGACATCTGTAATCCATCAGAAGGTAGAGACAGGAGGAGTAGGAATTGACGTCATCTTTGTCTGTGAAGCTAGCCTGGGATACAGATGACTCTGTTTCTTTTTGCTTGGAAGTAGAGAAACTTGATGAATAGCTTTAGGCTCCAAGTTCAATTTTCAGCACCACTAATAGATGATAAAGAAATGAATACTCTGAGAAAAGGGTCCCTGGCATAAGGAATGTCAAAAACTAAACAAGGGCTGGAGAGATGACTTAGCGGTTAAAAGCACTGACTGCTCTTCCAGAGGACCTGAGTTCAGTTCCCAGCAACCACATGGCAGCTCACAACTGTAACTCTGAGGTCTGATGTCCTCACACAGACATACATGCAGGCGAAATACCAATACACATCAAATAAAGTAAATAGATTATTAAGAAGAAAGAAAGAAATGTGGAATGGTTGCTCCTTTTCTCATTTGGCGCACTGGTTATTTAGACCTGCAGCCAGGCCTTTCAGCTGTGCTTAAAATGTGCAACTTACTCTCCTACTTCTGCCTTTGA